ACTGATTTTTCTATTTTTGGTGTGCAGATCATTGCTTTAGAGTTTTAGGGGTTTGTTTAATTTTTGAGAGTACGATTGGTGGAATATTTAGATTTCCAGATAAAACGAGAAATTATTTCGTGCGAGCTGGCTCGAACGAACTGCACGAAGGAGGATCGTTGCATAAATTAACAAAGATACACGTGTATAACGATACCACGTTCCAATATTGGTTCTCGAGCATGCTGCACCATGATATAGCACTGTTCGAAGTACGACCTCGCTTTCGATTCTCAAGTGCTGTTCAAGCGGTTCGATTGCCCACCGAATTCAGCAAACCGCCTCGAAAACTATATGTTTGTGGCTGGGGTTACACCGGCACCCAAAGCAGCGTGAGTGTCTTCTTCTCTAATCGTTGTGCTTTCAAGTATTGAGTTTAGATTCATAGTCCAACTGTGCTTTAAATGCACCGATTGAATTTTCCTTTTTATCTCGGTTCTGAGCGATGAATCATTCTATATATTGAAATATTGCACGTTGAATCTGTTTTTAATCCTAATTAAAACTCTTTCTATTCTAATTACAGGTTTCGGGTTTTAAATTTCCGAATTCTTTAATTTTAAATGTCTGAATTTGTAAATATTTGGATTTTTACATATTCGAATCTTTGAATTTCCAAATTTTCAAATATTCGAATCTTCCAAATATTAAATTATCGAATTTTCAATTTTTAACATTTCTAAGTCTCCAAATATTCGAATTTTCAAATTTCTAAGTGATGGAATTTTCAAATTTCTAAATTATGGAATTTTCAATTTTTAACATTTTCACAATTTAAAATATTCGAAGCTTCGAATTTTAAAATCCTCGAATTTCCAAATTTTCAAGTATTCAAATTTTCGAATTTCCAAATTTTCAAATTTCTTTTAATTCCTTTTTCAGGCAAAAATCAGTCATGTCTTGATGGGTGTCTACGTCCGTTACACGCCATACGAAACGTGTATAGAAGAAACTCCAGAGTACGAAATCCTCGTTAAAAAGGATAGCCATCTATGTTATGGGGCATACAGAAAAGATTCTTGTTACGGAGATTCTGGAGGACCACTGGCGAGTGCAACCACGCTTTATGGCATCGTTTCCTTTGGTACAAACTGTGCCATAGTATCAGGAGTGTACGTAAAAGTTTCATACTACCGGCGTTGGATTGAACGAGTCACCGATTTATAATTACTAGCTCAATTGGAAATCCCAAGCACCTCGAGTATTAAACACGTTCAACCCAGTGCAACTTGATGTAAATATTCCTCCAAATTTAATTCTGCTTATTTCAACTTAAATTACTTTCCACCTCCCATATCAATTTATTCCTTCCTTTCAGCAATTAATTTTACAAAATAAATAATTCCCAATCTAATTTATCAAACTATCTACCCCTTCAAATAATATTTCGATAAAATTCCCAAATTTTTAAATAACGAAACGAAATTAAAAAATTTTTAATCAAAAGTATTAAGCTATCCTAAAATATGATAAAATCGAACCTTAAATCGCTATATTCGAATCGATTCGACTTCGATCTATGAATCGAAGGTGCATGGCACGTGTCACGTGAAAATGGTCGCTTCCAGGAAATTGAAAAAGCCGTGTCCAATGCCAGAATGCGGAGCCAGGCGTGTTCAGGTTCGATGCACGCAGGAAGTCCATTACGCACGTTCTGCGCAAGATCCTGTCGCGCACACAGCCACTTGCCTCACGTATCGTGTACTTAGGGCTGAATGAAGTTCGAACGGGGCCCTTGGGTAATACGTAATTAGAAACTATTGTGCCCGACTCTGTTTCGTATTATCGGCACGCATAAGCGAGGATGGTTATTTCTGGATATCGTGATACTCGATGAATACCCTCAGATTTGGAAGGAGTATTAATTAAAATTAATTTCACTCATAGGAATACCGATCTTCCATCATTTCTTATTTGCCACCATGTATTTCACGCTATAGTACCATTAAATATTTAATTTACCATATCTTCTTCTCATTCAACTTACATAATTACAAAAATTTTGCAAAACTCGTGCTAATCGTGAGTTATGAATCATTTTATGTGAATCAAATTACGTGGAATTAAATTAAAATTATATCAGGTTATTCAATTTTAAGATATTAATCGTAATTCGTATTAATATTAATTTTATAAATTTTATTTTTCTTCCTAATGACTTCTAGTAACATTTTTATCCCCATATAGTCACGTGATGAACGGTTCTCTGCATAAATGAAAGCAAATTATTCTAAATTACCATCTGCTACTTTCCACTACATGCTTTCTACTATACTCTATTTCTTGTGTCACCATTCTCAACCATAATTCACCATTTGGAGCTTCACTCGAAACCACTGAAACCAGAATGCACATCTTCCGTCCGCCATCTTATCATTCTTCTCCCACCTCCACCACAGCAGCCGATCTTCGGCAATCGATCACACTGCTAGGAAATCTACTTTCATGTCTAGACCTGTTCTACAGGTGGCTCCGAGATCTACGGTGCAATCGGGACTATGATAAAATTAAATATTCCTCGCGTACAATCTGCTGGACAATCGTTTCGTGGGTGGGTGCGCACGCAAGCGTTACACCTCGCTGTCATTTACCGGCATGACTCAGCCACGGTGGTTTCCCTGCATAAACACCGGCCGCCGGCTTTTCCACCGGGTCTTTAAACTCCCTTGCCACGTGCACCGTGTCTTCCGACCGTGAGAAGTGCATTATCGTCGGTCACATCCGTCGATTTCTCTGTGTCTATTTGCTCGCTTGATAAAGACGATGGCCACCCAATCGTGCAATCGATTCGACAACCCGGGCCTCTGGTGCAACCATTGATTCCAACGTAGCAACGACGAGTTCGCTGACGAACAATGGATCGTTGGATCTCTAAACAGGGCTCAGTGATTCGTGATTCCAGTCGAGAGTTGGAAATAGAAATTGGAAAATTTGGAAATTCTTCTTATATTTTTCTTTGGAATTTTCTTTTGAATTTGGACAGGTATGGAAAGTTTGTTAAAAATTGCATCGAAGTGATCGATGATTGATCTTATATATGGATCGTTGGATCTCTAAACAGGGCTCAGTGATTCGTGATTCCAGTCGAGAGTTGGAAATAGAAATTGGAAGATTTGGAAATTCTTCTTATATTTTTCTTTGGAATTTTCTTTTGAATTTGGAGAGGTATGGAAAGTTTGTTAAAAATTGCATCGCAGTGATCGATGATTGATCTTACATATGGATCGTTGGATCTCTAAACAGGGCTCAGTGATTCGTGATTCCAGTCGAGAGTTGGAAATCGAAATTGGAAGATTTGGAAATTCTTCTTATATTTTTCTTTGGAATTTTCTTTTGAATTTGGACAGGTATGGAAAGTTTGTTAAAAATTGCATCACAGTGATCGATGATTGATCTTATATATAGATTGAGGAGAGTTTGGAAAGGTATAGAAAATTGGTTGAAAATTGAATCACAATGGTGGAAGGTTGACCTTATACATGGATCAGTAATTCATGATTCTAGTTGATAGCTGGACGTAGATAGTAATATGTAATTTGGAAATCCTTTTTAGATTTCTCTTTCGAATTTTGTTTAAGTTTAGATAGCTATAGAAAATTGGCTGAAAATTGCATTGCAGTGATGTAAAGTAGATCTTATACACGGATCAGTGATTTGTGAGTCGAGTCGGGAGTCAAGGTTTCAGATAGTTAGCTTTGGCATTTGAAATGGAAATTAGATAATTTCGAAATTTCTTTTATATCTATTTTTCGTACGAATTTCGTTTAACTATTTGGTGTTAGATGTGTTAAAAAATGTCCCATCTTTTGCTTAGCTTTCTGTGCATGGTGGAATGTATTTTAACCTACCTCGAAGAATTGAATAATATTTTCTATTAAATAATTGAAATGAACGATTTTTCCTTTCCACTATATTAAAAAGGGTATCATGCAAGTTGGAATTTAATTTTCTTTAAAGTTCTGTGCTTCAGAGAGTTGAATTTAGTCTAAATAGAGGAATAATATTGACAGCCAATGGGTGGTATATGACAATTTTGGGACACTTTTAATGTCTATCGTTCTTGGTCCAATTTTGTAATGTCTTCGATATCGAAATAGCAAGATAGACAGGCATAAATTAATCGATGGAATCGTTAATCGAATTATTTGAACCACTTACGGACCAGTGCGTCCAAAAAGAAGGCAGCACACCACATGTGGATTCGTATATGTTGACAGCTAATGCGACTCAGTATATAATGACCAGGCAATATATCGATCCAAGTTGCCATGGTTCATTCATACCGTTCCACGTGGAAACATACAGTTTCAAACGTCCTACTTCCCTTTCGACTAATTTACTTTAGTAAATCATATATATGTAAGAAAAGTCTGCTAATTACACAAAATTAAACAATTTTATTGTTTAGCATTAACGCTAAAATTACTGTTCAATAATTCTATGTACAAATATTGTAAAGATTATCATTCTTGATATTTCCAATATAAGTTACTGCTCAAGAAATTTTACAAATTTAATTTTATTAATTGCAATTGCACCAAATGTAATTTCATATTAAATTTCGTAACAAAAGTAGTTACATATTTTCTATGATTGCAAAGGTGAAAAGTTCAAGAAGCTTGACAGCATTGACAGTCCCAGTATAAATTACCCCAAACGAAAATTTCCCTAAAAATTAATTATATTTCTATACTCGTGCACTTTAATGACAGATAATAATTAAGGAATTTAACACAGCGCTTCATTAAGAAATTATATTAATTAGAATTCTATGTAAGTACTAATACGAGTGAATAATAATTTTTTTAAAAGCAGGTATACAATTTATGACAATTGCAAAAAGGAAAATTCCAAGACCTGTCATTTTGACAGGATCGGTGCTTCTGTTATTAATCGAACCATTGTTTCTTCCAATTTTCCAATTATTTCGCAGAAATTAAATCAATCATTCACAAACTCACCCTGTTATCACGCAAGGATACACCTTGTTCCGCAGACTTTTCAGAATCTGCGATCTTAGCTTCGAGTACCAGCTGCTGTTCCTTGGGCTGTGGTTTTTCCCCGACACGATACGCGTCTCTATGTTTTCTGAATCACTATTATCATTTGCATTCTTCGTAAACGGTGTCACAGGCATTTCATTGTTCCCCACAATCACATAATCGTCGAAACTCCTCTCCTTCTTTAAATACGTCCCAGTGACTTTCCTTGCTAAATACAAATCCGGCTCCTTGTCTGTCATGATTGACAGATTCTTGTTCCTCAGAAGTTCCCTGTCACACACCGTGGTCTCCTTCTTCTTCACATTTTGTGCAACCCTTTTCACGTTCTCGACCGCCTTGAAAGACGCTCGTTTCGACAGCCTTCTACGACGACGTCTCAACTTCACGAGATTTGTCAACATCCTTGTTGAAAATAGCGTACAATTTCGATGATGTTCATCGTATTTCTATTTCTCAGGCTTATTGTTCCTCTTGATTTCACTGGTACAAGTAATCGTTGAAGTTTAGGGTACGGTGTGATAAAGAATATTAAGAAATTTCATGGTTATTCTCGGTGTAGGGGATTTGTTTAGGTCGTGGTGGGTCTACTTGCTGTCATGTGCCTCGTGTGAATGGCGCGCGCGAAACTGTGGAACTGAGCTCCCGCCACTTTAAATGTTGCCCATATGGGATGCAGTAATTGGTCGGAAGCAGTCCTACTTAGAGGAGGGGGACCCATAGAGGTTTATTGGAACGTCCATTCCTGAAATCCCCGATTTCAACCCGCGAATTTTTGTGTCTTATCATTCACCTATACCTTGTTAGTGTGTTAGTCACTTGGGTGAAGTCCCGTGAAGGAACCGCAGATAAATAAAGGGTCTCTGTTGATCGGGTTTCATCACCAATTGCTATGTTATTCGTCATCGGAGTATTTAAAGACGAGTTTCGAAATCTGGATGATGTCTTTGCAATTGGGAGTTCGAGCTTTCATTCGAAACTTATTTATTCGAATTGCAGTTTAAATTTTTATAATTGGTTCGAAATTTGACATTTGAGCTCATATTCGTGCTTTGAAATTAAAGAATCGATTGATTACGGAAATTTTGGAATAGCCAGATTCGAATTTCTATCGATATGAATGTCGATATTAATATCGGTATTTCGTAATTAAATATTCGAATTATTATCGATGCTTAAAAATCGAGTCAGAATTTTTTGTAGCTATTACAATAATCGGGAATGATTGTTATTCTATGTATAGATTTATCTTCCATAGCTTCCAATTTTAGATAATTTTCTATTGAAATTATCTATACAAGTATGAATTTCAGTCACAGTTTCAAAAACTTCTTTTTCCCTATTACGAATATAATAATAAAATTTGATATTAAACACAGTTATTCGATTGAATACAAAATCATGCATCACGTATAACCACTCTGCGTAAACAAATCTCAGAATATTCCAAAAGATCCTGAAATAGAACTGTAAGTAGAATTTTAACGAATTCATAGGAAACACACCATTTTTAGACACGATTAAAGTACAATCGCCATCGCCATTCCATTGTTCTTTTTCCTCCGTTTATCGCACTCCTTCTTCCTGTGATGCAGCGAGCAATTAAGAGGTAAACACATAATTAGACAAGCAGCAAATAAATGTAATTTCCCGGAGCGTGATATTACGGTTCCGGTATCAAATCTGACATCCTCTTCTCTGCCGTATGCATATTCTCTTCTAAAATACGATAAGATCGCGTGTTTCAAGTATGAATCTACGAATCGGTGATAATAACAACAACGTAATCAGAGATTCGAGTAAAATCGTTTTACATCGTCGGTGCGCGAAGATGACTTTGTTTTTCATTTGCCAGGCACGAATGGAATTTCCATAGTTGCAATCGAAGCCATTGCACTTTTCAATTATCACCTTTCGCATTGGATTGGAATGCAAAATTCAACCGACCGCTTTTTCCATTCACTGAATAACGAAATTTCTCCGAAAAATTCGCTCGAAAACCATTAAAAATGTAAATTTTGCGATTCACGACGATTAATGGAAACGAAAAATTATTACTGAAAAATGTGTAAATGGATTTCTTTTGGAGATATAAGGTATTATATTTCGAGCTAAAATTATTTACCAATATTTATATCAATATCGTGAAAATTTTGATTTCCGCGCAATCGGTGAAAAACTAGAGGCCTTTCTTAAAACTCCAATCTTATGCAAAATTACAAATTTGGTAAAATAAAATTTCTCAAACTCCCTATTAGGTAAATATAATTATAGCACATCGCACGATGAGGTATAAAATAGACGATAAAATACCAAAAAACAGAATAAAATAAAATAAAATGGTTACTTTTTATTTTCCAGTCCAAATTAGCACACTACATTGTTAATTATAATAATCTACAAATAATCTAATCTAAATATATCTAAATATAATAATTTATAAATAATCTATAACAATCTCTCGGTATAAATGAGGCTTTTCTTAAAGCTCCAATCTTATACAAAATTACAAATTTGGTGAAATAAAATTTCTAAAATTCCCTATTAGGTAACTATAATTATAATACATCACACGATGAGGTATAAAATAGACGATAAAATACCAAAAAACAGAATAAAATAAAATAAAGCAGTTACTCTTCATTTTCCAGTCGAAGTTAGCAAACTATATTGTTATATAAATAATATAATTGTTATATAAATTATAATAAATAATTTAATTCAAATATAATAATTTATAAATAATCTATAACAATCTCTCGGTATAAATAATCATCCTGACCAATTTGTATCACGAACCTCGATCCACCCTGTATCCCCCAAATTAATCTCGAATTATAAAATTAAATTAGCGAATTAAATCGAGACACCGAGCAACGCAAAATAGCTAAAAACTGCAGCACGCAATCATCTCGTTCAAGAAGCATCAAACGTAAAAACAATGCCACTCGGGGGTCCAATTATGGACACAGGACGGCCTGATTCGTGACCGGAAATCGGATTAAGCGAAATTATCCGTACACCGTGTCAATGTAAGAAACTGACTCCGCGATGTCATTATCCCCTTTTGATCTCTCGCACGAAAAATCCTCGTTTCCCTGCTCGTCCACCATTTTCAGGGCTGCAACTTTGAACTCGTTCCTTTGGTCCCACCCCTTCCCATCCCTCTCGCAGGGATTTTTATTACGCCTGCTTAATAAGCAGGCTCCGGGGTTCCATTCGCGAATTTTTTGCCCCGTCATCGAGCCATCTTCAAAGGAATCGCGCAAACATTCGCCTCGCCTGGATTCTAATTAACAACGAATCCTACTCGAACCGGGGTTTAAACGAAAGCCACGGCAACGCCGACTCGAATTATCAGGGAACGCGTTCGCGGGTTAATTACTCGTTCTAATCGGCCCTCGATGCTTCGACGCGGCTTCTGCTGTTGTTCAATCGTCGTGGTCTCTTGTGTGTTACATTTCGACTCGTCCATGTGTGGCTGCGAAAATAAACGTGTCTTTGGTGAAGCGAATTTTCAGTGATATAACGAGTTTAGGAAGCGCCTTTTAAATTCGATAAAATTCGTGAAATTTGTGCGATGCTGTATGTAATGGTATTTGCGAAGATATGTTGCAATGTATTTAACACTAAATTAAATTTACCACGATTTAAATGATTATTTTGAAATTTTTGTTTTAAAACTTTGCATTCAGTGTTATCGCAGTGATCACTTGACAACGTGATTTGTTTCTCAGTATACTCAATTTTAGTATAATTGATATTTTAGTGTAATCAATTTTTTAATATTTTCTGTTATTTCATGCTTCAAAGATTTGTTTAAATTCGATAAAATTTGTGCAGTGCTGTATGTAATAGTATTTGCAAAGACATGTTGCAATGTATTTAACACTAAATTAAATTTACCACAATTGAAATAATTATTTTGAAATTTTTGTTTTAAAACTTTGCATTCAATGTTATCGAAGTGGTCACTTGATAGTGTGATTTATTTTTTAGTATACTCAATTTTAGTATAATCAATTTTTTAATATTTTCTGTTATTTTATTCTTTGAAGATTTTTCTTCCTCTCCTTTTTCCATCTATGGACCAATGTCACTGGCTATGGTAGATGTAGTGTTAATATTTGGAGATGGAATTGTCATATTTGGGAAATTTGTTTGGGGTGAAAATAAAGGATGGGAGAGAGGGTTGTTTAGGAAATATTTTTGGGGGGTAGTTTTTGATGTTTATTTTATTTCTGTTTGGTCTGTCATAGATGTTCCATTGGGTACGAACGTGGTCGCATTGTTCTCATAAGCAATGAAACTGCTTGGTCCGTGAGTCAATCACCTAATTTAACCGCCACGAGATTCCGATAACATTCTCTAATTCTGCGGCTCTGTGACACGCTGATCAAACGCGAAATTCATTTCGTGGAGGAACTTAAAGTGCATGGTGTATGAAATAGTTCTAGTTAATTCTGCCACTTTCGATTAGGGGTAATTAATCCTCGGAATAGGAATCGATTCTTTAATAAAATTTAGAATACCAGGATTTGTAGTTTATGCGAGAATGATTATCAAAAATGGCGCGGAATTTATTCCGAATTTATTTATTCCACGAATAAATTCGTTTGGAAAATTAATTATGATAAATTTGATATTACTTAAGATTAAAAAATTACTATTATCGAAGAATTTTGTATATTGGGTGATTAATTTTCTAATAACTGAACTTCCTGTAGAATTAATTTACTCCTACTTTCTCCACAATTATCGTTGCTGTAGCACAAACCTTAAACAACATCCCCGAATTCAGAAATCAAACAACTCTTCACGATCAGTCCTTATGAAGTCAATATCTCTAACAAATTGTTATCGAAGAAATCAGAAACGAGAAGCTATCAAATATTAGGGAGCCCCAAAAGTTTCTTCCTTTCTTTTTAATACGAAATCAATAGACGATATTTGTTGTTTAAGGTTGATTTATGCCTATATGGTACAATTATATATATTATGGTATGATGTCATAAACGAAAAATTGATGATCCTGCATGTTTACAAACATATCCTTAGAAAAGAACTTATGGAAGAACCTAATAAAAATTAAATCAAGATAAAATACCACCTTTCATGTTTCTTCAAATGACTGTCATATAGTCAACATCTTTATTTCGTATTTAAATAAAAGAAATTGGCAGAAATTAAATAAAGTCATTCTGCCTTTCATTTTCCTGGGTAATATCTCGAACAAATTGGAATAAAAGGAAGAAGAAACAACCCCTGGGAGGCAAAACCAAAACCAACCACCGAAACAGCTCCAGCACCCCTCAATTAATCGCAGACGTCGATAAACCGAGCGAAAGGATCGAGTTGAAAAAAGCCACGAGCTAAAGCAGACTGCGAAAACCGCCGCAACCCCCGGCCTCTCGCAAATTAATTGCCACAATAGCAGCAGCCGGAAGCAATAAAAGAAATACCACCGCGAAAGCCAGCAACGGGAAACACAGAGTAGCCAGCAC